CCTGCTGATAAATTGGATGTATGGTAAAGGTTACAAATATCCTAATTAAATTCCAAGAATATTAGCATTGGCATCAATGTAGAACTATATCTACCAGGTATTAATAAAATACAAAGTGTAATGGCTATGGATACTTACCAAAAGTTGGTGTAATCTGATATTTAATGAATTTTCAACATAAGGGTGTGATGATCTGATCTCGATATTAAATCTATAGCAAATAATACTATTGTGATCCCATGGTCTGTATTGTCCTGTAGGAAAGTCTAGGTTCCTAGGGTTTTTTAATATTGTAATATTGTTTTAGCTTTCAAAGTGTGGATATATATATATATATATATATATATATATATATATATATATATATATATATATATATATATATATATATATATATATATATATACATATATACACTGTCATTGCCAGTGACTGTGCAATTATATTAATATATTGCTTGACAAAATTAACAATACAAGATCATAATCGACTTAAAGGTAAAATTAAATTGTGATTTGATTATATGTCATAAAGAAACCTATATAATCATATTCAATTTTATGTGTATTAATATCTACATAAGGTCAACAAATTCAGATATTATTAAAAGTATTGTGGCTATTTTCATATCCATTAAGGTTTATGTGCATTGATCGGATTTTGTAATCCAAATCATTAAACCCATAATATCTCACATAATATCTTGTTGTAAATCTAATAAATTAAGGCATGGTATATTGCTTAGATAAATGTGTAAAATACACGATACCCTTTAATGTAAAACATTGTCATTTATTAGATAAAGGGTTAAAAACACCTATAGTGGTCTGCTTGACAGCCGCTAGAGGTGTTTCCACTTTGAGAACCAAGTCAAACTCAGTTCTCACAGCTAACCTGGCTGTGCATGCTCTTTTCATCCCCAATGTTCCTCTATGAGAAGCATTTTATTGAACGTTTTGTAAAACATCAATGAAATGTCTTGGAAGACAGATTGCACAGCTGCAGGGACTCAATCTGGGTGCTGTAAAAAAAAGTTAAGTAATACCCTTTATTCCACTTTTTATTTGGATTGGGGAGATGAATAAATAAATAAAGAGGAGAATACTGTAGCACTAGAAATACAGACTTGTATGCATAACACTATAGTGTTCCTTTAAACTACCTAGACATCAATAGTTGGAGATTATTTTACCCCACTACTCTATTTACTCCCACCCAAATGACTCTTACTGTAGATTAAATTCTATCTTCATGCCACATTTTTGCAAGTAGCAGGGAAAGCAAATATTGGCTCAATAACTTGGACTGACCAAGCCCAAGTTATTGTGTATAATTTTTCTTTCCCACAACACCTTCTAGATCATGTGTACTGTGTCTCACTAAGGATAACGTATAACCGGACCTTGCAATGGCCGGACTTAACGTCTCCAAGAATAGTCAAAATACTAGCTGAAGTCAGGGACACAGAATCAGACACAAAGATGAGGGAAAGCCAAAAGTCAAGGATACCAGATATCAGGGAAGTCAGAACAAAGCCAAAGTCAAATACTAGGAAATCAAGTTCTGGTACGTGATCTCGGATAACCATATACATGAAACCACAACAGGGCAATGAGCAAAAGAAGAATTCTGTTTAAGTACTCCTCCTCGGGATCCGATTGGCTGTAACCGGCTTTTGGCCCCAAAAGGCAATCACCAGGTGTGCATGATTGCTCCTCAGCACAAACCCACCTGTGGACCTGATTGGCCATGCACATTACCTTTGACCCCAAAAGAGGTTACCAGGTTTGCATGATTGCTGCTTTGCACAACCTTTCCTGTCAGGACAGCAATTCCGCTCGGCACAGCTTTTCCTGTCAGGACGGTAATGTTGCTCAGCACAACTTTTCCTGTCAGGACAGTAAATGCCATTAACCACATTTTCATGTGCGGATGAATACGTGACATTACTCCCCAGCTAAAGACCTCCCACCAGGCGGGCAGGACCAGGTTTGAGAGGAAACTTGGCGTGAAAAGAACAAATTTTACAGCCAGCATGGATATCAGAAGACGAAATCCAAGAACGGTCAGCAGGCCCATACCCCCACCAATCAACCAAATACTGTAAGGAACCAAGAGAAAACCTGGAATCAATGATGGAGGAGACTTCGTACTCCTCCTGTCCAGAACAATTGGACTTGTGCACCAATTGCAAACAAGCGGTTTGAGCAAGGACGCATGAAACATATTAGGTATACGTAAGGACGCTGGAAGGGCCAGAGAATAAGAAGCAGGGTTGATTCTCCTAACCACACGAAAAGGACCAAGGAACCTCGGAATGAACTTCATGCTGGGAACTTTCATCCTGATGTTGCGTGAGGATAACCAAGCCCGATCACCCACCTGGATTGGCACTCAGCCGTTTATCCGCATGAAACTTAAAGCGAGCAGCCGCAGTTTCAAGAGCGGAGTGAACCTTAGTCCAGGTATCACAAATAGAGGTAAGGTGATCATCCAGAGTAGGGATAGTCATATCAGAAAACACAACAGGGAGAACAGCAGGATGACGACCCATATTGGCAAAAAACAGACTATGCCCAGATGAGTCATATGTAGCGTTATTCCTTGCAAATTAGTCCCAGGGCAATAATTCAGCCCAGTTAGACTGTGTACTATTCACGAAGCAACGTAAATACAGCTCAAGTGATTCGTTAGCTCTTTCAGCCGTACCATTAGTTTGGGGATGTAAGCAGAGGAAAATGACAATTCAATGCCCAACTGTTTATTGAATGCCCTCCAGAACCGTGACACAAATTGGGAACCCCTGTCAGACACAATATTTTGAGGAATACCATGTAGCCTGACAATATTATTTATAAATAGGTGCACCAGGTCCTGAGACGATGGCAATTTTTTAATTGGAGTAAAGTGTGCCATTTTGGAAAAACAGTCAACTACCATGAGGATGGTAGTATACCCATTGGAACTAGGCAGTTCAAAAATGAAATCCATCGATAAATGAGACCATGGGATACTAGGTATAGGAAGTGGCTGTAACAATTCACACAGAAGTTTATGAGGAACCTTTGAAACTGCACAGACAGAGCAGGCTTCTACATAATCTTTAATATCCCTCCTGAGTGACTCCCACCAAAATGACCTGGAAATGGCGGATACAGTTTTATTAATACCTGGATGCCCATCGGTCACATTGTCATGGCATATCTTCAGCACCTCTTTCCTGTCAGGCAATGGAATAAACAATTTAACTTGAGGTTTGTTGCAAGGTGCCTGGGGCTGAGCCGCCATGATAGCACAGAGCAAAGGGGACGATAAAGAAAGGACAGTGGATGCAATAATACACTCAGGATAAATAATAGGGGATGTCTCTTCTTCTAGATCTGATTCAACGTCAAATTGTCTAGACAAGGCGTTAGCTTTAAAGTTCTTAGAACTGGGTCTGTAGGTGATAATGAAGTTAAAGCGAGACAAAAATAATGACCATCTAGCTTGTTTAGAAAATGGTCGTTTGGCATCCCCAATATATGCCAGGTTCTTATGATCAGTAATAGTCACAATGGGATCCTTGGAACCCTCCAAAAGATGTCACCATTCCTTAAGCGCTAGTATAATGGCTAACAGGTCTCTATTACCAATGTCATAGTTACGCTCGGCAGGAGACAACTTTCTGGAAAAGTAACCACAAGGATGCAAAGGGGCATCCTGACTCTCTCTCTGAGAAAGAACAGCCCCGACCCCTGTCTCGGAGGCCTCAACCTCAAGTAGGAAAGATTTACTAGTGTCAGGATGTCTTAATATGTCAGCAGATGTGAACATTTGTTTAAAGGACCACTATAGTGCCAGGAAAACATACTCGTTTTCCTGGCACTATAGTGCCCTGAGGGTGCCCCCACCCTCAGGGACCCCCTCCCGCCCGGCTCTGGAAGGGGAAAGGGGTAAAAACTTACCTTTTTCCAGCGCTGGGCGGAGAGCTCTCCTCCTTCTCTCCTCCTCCATTCCTCCTCCTGGGCTGAATGCGCACGCGCGGCAAGAGCTGCGCGCGCATTCAGCCCGTCGCATAGGAAAGCATTTACAATGCTTTCCTATGGACGCTTGCGTGCTCTCACTGTGAAAATCACAGCGAGAAGCACGCAAGCGCCTCTAGTGGCTGTCAATGAGACAGCCACTAGAGGATTAGGGGGAAGGCTTAACCCATTCATAATTATAGCAGTTTCTCTGAAACTGCTATAATTATGAAAGAATGGGTTAACCCTAGAAGGACCTGGCACCCAGACCACTTCATTAAGCTGAAGTGGTCTGGGTGCCTAGAGTGGTCCTTTAAGAAGCTCAAAAGCCTCTTTAGCTTCTTTAGGCCATATAGTACAATTAGCCCCCTTGCGGGTCATATTGGTGATGGGGGCTATTACCGAAGAGAAACCTGATGAATCTCCTGTAATAGTTAGAGAAACCAATAAACCTCTGTATGGCTTTTAACCCAATGGGTAATGGCCATTGTAGAACGGCCTCTAGAGGCAGAAATGTTATACCCCAAAAACTGAACCTCATGTTGATCAAATATGCATCTCAAGTTTACAATAAAGACCATTTTTAAGCAAAGTTTGTAAAGCTTGTTTGACATGATCATGATGAGTTTAGATGTTGGGGGAATAAATAAGGGTATCATCCAGGTATACTAGCACAAAAGAGTAAAAATAGTCTCTGAGTACATCATTACTGAAGTCTTGAAATACAGCCGGAGCATTACATAACCCGAAGGGCATAACAAGATATTCATAGTGCCCACTCCAAGTGTTAAACGCTGTCTTCCATTCATGATCCTCCTAATTCTCACCAAATTGTATGCATTCCTAAGGTCAAGCTTAGTGAAGATCTTAGCACCCTGGAGTCTCAAAACAATTTGGATATAAGGGGAATGGGATAGGCATTTTTGATAGTAATCTTGTTTAATGCCCTGCATAGACGTGCACAGCGTATTGCATTAGGGTGTGCAACCTAAAGCACAAACACACCGCATGTATATGTATGTATGTATGTATGTATGTATATATATATATATATATATATATATATATATATATATATACACACACACACACACATACATAAACTGCTGTGTGTGTGTGTGTGTGTGTGTGTGTTCTGTTAGTGTGCTGTGTGAGGGTGCTGTGTGTGTGTGTGTAAGGGTGCTGTGCATGAGATTGCTGTTAGTGTGATGTGTGTGTGAGGGTGCTGGTAGTGTGCTATGTGGGTGAGGGTGTTTGTGTGTATGTGTTTGTGAGGGTGCTGTTGATGTGTTGTGTGTGAGGGTGCTGTTTGTGTGAGGGTGCTGTGTGTGAGGGTGTTGTGTGTGTAAGGGTGCTGTGTGTGTGTTTGTGAGGGTGATGTTAGTGTACTGTGTGTGTGCTGTGTGTGTGAGGGTGCTGTTTGTGTGCTGTGTGTGCTGTTTGTGTGAGGGTACGTTATATGTGTAGGTGTTGTGTGTGGGTGCTGTATGTGTGTGTGTGCACTGTATGTTTGGAGGGATTGTGGAGGTGGGGCAGATTAGTAAATATCCCTCCTCCCTTCTTACCTTATGTAAGGAGGGGGGATCCTTGCTGCCATGTGCCATCCCTGGTGGTCCAGTGGAGAGTGAACTTTAGCCTGCGGGGCAACGCTCAGATCTCGCGAGAGGAACCTGGCGGAGCTGCTGGCTAGATCTCCCCGCCAGCCCAGGGAGGCTTAGAGCAGAGCCGGCACTCAGATAGCACCGGCAGGGGTCCCGGGGAATAAAGTGTGGGAACTCTCCCAAGATTCCCACCCCCCAAAAAAAACAATATACACTCGTGTGTGTGTGTATATATATATATGTATATATATATATATATATATGCGTGCATACACACACTGACACACATACACGCACACACATATATATATATATATATATATATATACGCGTTCGGACACAAACACATACACTCAGACACACACATTCACAGACACACACACATACTTACAGACACACACACATACATTCACAGACACACACATACACTGACACACATACACACACTCAGACACACATACTCAGACACACACAAATCATTTTTTTTTAAATTAAAAAAATGTCCACCCAGCCTCCCTCCCTAGACTGGTGTGAACCTGTCCCTGGGGTCCAGTGGGTCGGACGTCTGTCTCCATATCAGACGCGGCGAGGGAGCTGTATCCTCTCTGCTCCCTCTCGCCATGCAGGCAGTCTACTGTAGCTGGGAGCCAGAATATGACATTATATTCCGGCTCCCGGCATCAGCAAACGGCGCGCGGCGAGAGGGAGCAGAGAGGACACAGCTCCCTCGCTGCGTCTGATATGGAGACAGGCACCTGATGGGGGATCTATCAGGTGGCCACCTCTTGGTCCCCCCCTAATTACAGGGGAAACACGGGGGGAATTTGGGGGCAGCATTTTTTGCCGCCCCCTGAGTGCCTGCAGGAAAAGCAGGAATGGCATTCCTGCTCAAAAAAAAGTGCAGGAACGCCGTTCCCACGCATTCCTGCAGCAATCAATCCATAGGCGTGCCTCGGGGATTAGGGTGTGCCCAGGCACACCCGGCACACCCCGTGCGCACGCCTATGATGCCCTGTAGTCTATGCAAGGTCGTAATTCTCCATCTTTTTTAGCTACAAAAAAGAACCCTGCACCAGCAGGCGAGGATGATTTACGTATATGGCCTTTACTTAAAGATTCCTTGATGTAATCATCCATGATTTTACTTCCTCCTTTAGGAGGCATAGCCCCGGGCAGGCCCGGACTGGCCATCGGGCACACCGGGCAAATGCCCGGTGGGCCACGATGGCTGTGGGGCCGAGGCCGGCAGGGGAGATCACAGAATCTCCCCTGCCAGCACCCTCCATGGCAGCATGGCACCCCCCATGGAAACCCGGCTTCCCACCCCCTCCCGGGCTAAAGGTAAGAAGGGAGGGGGGGATACATAGTTTTTACTTTTGTTAAATAAAAAAATTAAAAAACATATTTATATAAACACTGTACTATATACACTCACACTAATAGCACTCACACAGAGCACACTCATACTAACATCACCCTCAGACACACAGCACACACAGCACCCTCAATCACACACAGCACCTTCACTCACACAGCACCCTCAATCACACACAGCACCCTCAGACACACACACACACACACACACAGCACCCTCAGACACACAGCAGCCTCAGACACACACACACACAGCACCCCAGACACACACAGCAGCCCTCAGACACACACACACACACAGCACCCTCAGACACACACAGCACACACACACACACACACACAGCACCCTCAGACACACAGCAGCCCTCAGACACACACACACACACAGCACCCTCAGACACACAGCAGCCTCAGACACACACACACACAGCACCCTCAATCACACACAGCACCCTCACACACACAATACCCTCACTCACAGAGCACCCTCAGACACACACAGCACCTTCACTCACACAGCACCCTCAGACACACACAGCACCTTCACTCACACAACACACAGCACACTCACACAACACACAGCACACTCACACATATACAACACACACATGTATAATATATAAAATAACCCTCAGTAAGCTAACAGACAAAAAAAATTAGAAACATAGAATGTGACAGTAGATAAGAACACCCTCACACACTCACAGCACCCCTCTTACACACACTGCAATCCTCACACACATGCTGCACCCTACACACATACACACAGCACACACAACACACTGCGCCCTTCACACATACAATACGTCCAAATATTTATATATATATATATATTTATATATATATATATGTATCTGTTTGGACGTATTGTATGTGTGAAGGGCGCAGTGTGTTGGGTGTGCTGTGTGTATGTGTGAAGGGTGCAGCATGCATAATATTATTATTATTATTGCCATTTATATAGCACCAACAGATTCCGTAGCGCTTTACAATATTATATACTACAGCACCACTACACACATTACGCTCCAGATACACACTAGATCCCTCACCCTATATACACTCTGAATCCTCTATACACACACACACACACAATCTCCTATACACACTCTGGGTCCTTTACACACAAGATCCCCTGCACACACTGCATTCTTGACATACAAACTCTGGATCCCCTATGCACACACTACATTCCTTGTAAGCAAACACATACTACATTCCCTAAGCACACACTCTCTACAACCCCTACACACACTACAGCCCATATGCACACACTCACTACATCCCGTATACACACTATGCCCCCTATAAACACTCGCTACAGCCCCTAGCCACACATATTACACCACAAACACAAATTAAATTGACCTATTTACACAATACCACACCACAATCGTTTCACTCTACACACACACACAATCCCACAAGCAGGCTCCAAACACATGCACCATATGCTTTTCTGGCCCTTTTGTCCTCTGGTATCCTACTTATGGAGACACCAGAGACAATTTAAAAGCAAACACAGCGCAAGCACGTTATTAAATTTGCTTGCGCTGCGCAGAACAAATACAGGGCCTTTTTCCCATGCTAGAGCTCTTCAGCAGGGCTCTGCGCATTGAACCAACATGCTCACTTTGAGAGGGGGTGTGCTTGTCATTAGTGATGACAAAACACAACCTCTCTGGCCCTGCCCCCTTCTCAGGGGGCCGCTGTGATTGAAAAATGCCCGGGCCTAATTTTTTTCCCAGTCCGGCCCTGGCCCCGGGCAACAGATCAATGGAACAATCATAAGATCTGTGTGGAGGAAGAGCATTAGTCTGGCTTTTACTAAACGCCTCTCTAAGCTCCCAATACTGTATTGGAATTTCAGGAGTCGGAGACGTAGCAGCGGGTAAAGCAACAATGACCACTTTTTTAGAAATGGGTAACATGCAGCTTTCCTGACAGTCTCTACCCCATTCCAGTATCTCCCCTCTAGTCAATATGAGGGTTATGCTTGGTGAACCAAGGGACCCCTAATACGATAGGACAAGAAGGGGAAGCGATTATCTGGAAAGTAATGTCTTCCTTATGCAAAGCTCCTATCGTAATGCAAATAGGCAAGGCCTCATGGCAGCACAAACCCACCTGTGGACCTGATTGGCCATGCACATTACCTTTGACCCCAAAAGTAATTAAAAGGTTTGCATTATTGCTGCTTGGCACAACTTTTCCTGTCAGGACGGCAATGCTGCTTGGCACAACTTTTCCTGTCAGGACGGTAATGTTGCTTGGCACAACTTTTCCTGTAAGTAACCCTCATGTGCAGATTTTATGGTGTTTTTAAAAGTTACAGGGTCAAATATAAGGCTTGCGTTTCAGTTTTTTCACATTGAAATTCGTCAGATTGGTTACGTTTCAATTGAGACCGTATGGTAGCTGAGGAATGAAAATTACCCCCATGATGGCATACCATTTGCAATAGTAGACAACCCAAGGTATTGCAAATGGGGCATGTCAAGTCTTTTTTAGTAGCCACTGAGTCACAAACACTGGCCAAAATTGACATTCAAATTAGTTTTTTGCATTTTTCACACACAAACAAATATTAACACTAACTTTTGCCAGTGTTTGTGACCAAGTGGCTACTAAAAAAGACTGAACATACCCAATTGGCAATACCTTGGGTTGTCTACTACTGCAAATGGTATGCCATCATGGGGGTAATTCTCCTTCATGGGCTACCATACGGTCTGAAAGGCAATGTAACCAATCTGGCGAATTTCAATGTGAAAAAAATGAAAAATGTAACATGCTATATTTGACCCTGTAACTTCCCAAAACACCATAAAACCTATACATAGGGGGTACTGTTTTACACGTGAAACATCGCTGAATACAAATATATGTATTTTATTGCAGTAAAAGCAAACAGTATTATGACATTCACAGTTAAAATGTCACATAGAACTAAAAAAATTAAAAAGTATAATTTTCTCCCATTTTTTAAAAATATTTTATTCATATTAATTTATGTTTCATAGCTAAATATTTGATGTTAAATGAAAGCCCTGTTTCCCCTGAATAAAATGCTATATAATAAGTAGGGGTGCACTTAAAATGAAAGAAGTGAATTACGGTTGAACAGACATATAGTCAAATT